ATGACAATTCACACACACACACACACACACACACACTTACTTCTGGCCTCCACATGCATACACATGAACACTACACACCAAAATACCAAAACTAAACTAAACCCAAACAGGAACAAGATGGTTCAGCAGGTGAAGGCACTTGCTGCCAAATCTTAAGACCTTATGTGGATCCCTGGAGCCTGCATGATGGGTATAGAGCATTGACTCCCAAAACTGTCCTCTGACTTTTGTACTTATGCTGTAGTATATGATCCCAAATGTATACACACATGTACACAATAAAATAAGTAAATAAATATACTTTTAAAAATTTCCAGGCATGGTAGAGCATGCCTTCAATCTCAGCACTTGGGAAACATACTCTGATTTTTCAGGCCAGCCGGGGACACACACACAGAACCCATATCTCCAAAAACTGTTCCTAGAGATACATGAAACATTAATTAACAAAATTGAAGGGAGAATGGGCAATCAATAGTTGGTTACTTCAAACTCTGATTCAATAATGGACATAGTCCACCTAATCAGAAGGTCAGTGAGGAAATGGAAAGTTATTTCATATAAGGTCTCACTATGAATCCCCAACTGTGAATTTATGATCCTTCTACCGTAGCCTACTAAGGCTGTAATTACAGGTGTGGCTCACTATGCATAGCTAGAAAATTTGAATATCATTATATACCAACTATACTAACTATCCAAAGAACTCATTTTACCTTACAATAGCAGAATATAATTCATTTTGTTGTTTATTTGAGATAGAGTTTCACCAAGGAAAAATAATTTGAAAATATAAGATAACATTTCACATCCACTGGGGTAGCTAGAATGAGAAATAAGGGTAACAAAAGTATTGGTGAACTGTGGGGAAATTGGAACTTTATATATTGCTGGTAGATTACAAAATGGCACAATAATATCTTTGGAATATAGTTCATCAGTTTTCAAAAAAATTAAAGTACTCAGGAGACTGAAGCAGGAGGATTACAAGTTTGAAGCCAGTTTGTGTTAGTGAGAGCCTGTCTTAAACAAACAAAAAATAAAGTTAAAATACAGGGGCTGGGCTGCATGGTGGTGGTGCACACCTTTAATCCCAGCACTTGGGAGGCAGAGGTGGATCTCTGTGAGTTCAAGGCAGCCTGGTCTACAGAATGAGTTCCAGATCAGGTTTCAAAGTTACACAGAGAAATTCTATCTCAAAAAACCAAAACCAAAAAACAAACAAACAAACAAAACAAACAAACAAACCAAAAAACCAAAACAGGGACAGGGAATGGAAAGGTGACTCATCCATTAAGAGACCTGACTGCTGTTGCAGAGGCCATGGATTCCAGTCCTCCTACCCTTACGGTAGTTCACAACCATCTGTGACTCCAGTTCCAAGGGATCCCAAGTGCTCTTCTCCTCTCCTCGTGCACTGCATGAATATGGTGCACAGACATACATGCAGAAACACACTCATATACATAAAAATAAATAGCTCTTTTTAAAATTAAAATACTGTCTTAGTTACTTTTCAATGGCTGTGACAAAACACCATCACCAAGGCAACTTCCAAAATACAGTGTTTAATTTGGGGCTCATGGCTCTAGTCCAGAACAATCATACTGGGGAGCACGACAGCAAACAGCTTAGCATGGTGTTGGTGAGCTCACATCTCGATCCATAAGTGCCAGGCAGAAAAAGCTAACTGGGAATGGTAATGGGCTTCTGAAGCATCAAGGCCTGCCTTCACGGCCACATCTCCTTTGACAAGGCCATATCTCCTAATCCTTCCCAAACAGATCCATCAAGTGGGGACTAGGTATTCAAACATATGAGCCTATGGGGGACATTCTCATTGAAACCACTGCAAATATGGACTTATATGACCCAGCAACTATACTCCTAGGTATTGGAAGCAAACACAGTAGGTTGTACGTGAATTTTCAAAGCAACATTCATAGTAGGCCAGAAGTGGGAGCAATAGAAAAGTTTATTCATCTGCTGAATGAATGAATAATCAGAGTATGGCATATCCATTCAGTGGAATATTATTCAGCTTTTAAGTAAATGAAATACCAAGACACACTATCGTATGAACCTTCAAATATTTTGTCAAGAGAAGTCAAGTTCAAAAGGCCACATATTACAAGATTTAATTCATATATAAGAAGTGCTTAAAAGGTAAACAGAGACAGAAAGTGGTTGCCTGGAGTTGGTGGGGCTAAATAGGAAATGATTATTCCTGGGGGTTTCCTTTTTGGCAATGAAAATATTTTGGAGTGAGAAAGTGTCATAGGTAAGTAATTGCCTGTTTTAAAATAAGGGTCTACTTGACAGGCAGGTGTTCTTGGTTCCTGGGCCCCTTGTTCAGTGAGGTTTCCCCAGGGTAAAAATGATTGCTAACAGTTAGTCCCATGGCACTCTGGAGTCTAGTACAAAAAGGAAGTGTCCCAGAAGACTTCATTCCACTCCATCTTCTGATGCAGAGAAGGGCAGTGCTCTTACTAGTGGTAAGGGATGTTTGTAATCCTAGCACATAGACAGAGGCAAGGCATGAGGAACACATATTCTAGATCACCTAGATAACTTGTCTCAAACAAACAACAAAAACCCACTGATTGTTCTTCCAGAGGACCTGGGTTCAATTCCCAGCACCCACATGGCTGCTCACAACTGTCTTTAATTTCAGTTCTAGGAGACCTAACACCATGGCAAAACACTGATGTGCATATAATATAAAGAAATAAATTTTAAAAAGAGGGTGTTAGGTGTTGGGGTGTTAAGATTCAGCTCTGTGGTTTACTGTGAGTCCTTGGGTGCAGTGCCTAGCACTAAGTGGGGGAGCAGAGTTCACCACCACCCAGTTCTGCCCTGCTCCAGCCACCTGCTGCGCAGACCAAGGACATGAACTTTATTAACTATAAAGAAGAAAACACAACTAGTTGTCTGTCTGGAACCCTGGAATCCCTTAACTCTACTTATAGTCTCAATTCTTAATTTTTTTTTCACAGTAAAACACACAAAAAATTATCATCGTAACCATATTGCATGTGTGTGTGTGTGTGTGTGTGTGTGTGTGTGTGTGTCTGTGTGTCTCCCAGGCTAGTCTCAAACTCACAGAGATCCGTCTGTCTCTTCCTGGTGATAACTTTTTATTTATTTATTTATTTATTTATTTTTCAAGACTGGATTTCTCTGTGTCACGTTGGCTGTCCTAGAACTCTCTCTGTAGACCAGCCTGGCCTGAAACTCAGAGATTCTCTTGCGTTTGCTTCCCAAGTGCTGGGGTTAAAGATGTGCACCACCACTGATTGGCTTTGATAATTTTTTAGTGTAGCTTTTACATTTGATGTCCTCCTAAAAATCTTCTTGAGGTTATCTCTTAATAACTCAGCTCCTCAGGCTGGAGATGGCTCAGCAGTTAAGCGCATTGGCTGCTCTCCCAGAGGCCATGGTTTCTGTCGCAGCCCCACAGGTAGACAAATGAGTGGCTCAGTAGTTCATTCAAGTACTAAGGAGAAAGCTGAAACAGGAAAATGAGTTCCAGGACAGCTTACAAGACCCATCTTTTAAAAAACAAATGTTTTCTCAGAGGTCTTCTCTTAGAACTAGCAGTAGTTTCCTCCCCTCCTGAGCTGTTTTGTCTTACTACCCTGAAGCACTCTCCGCTTTTCTGAAGTGAAAGCACATACTCACTTATGCCCTATCTCCCCCTCAACTCTAAAATAAAAATTCCGTCAGGGAAGGACCAGGTCTGTCTATACTTCTTCACACGACCGGGAGTGTTTTGTATGCCATGCTGTGCAGACTCCAATCTAAAGCTTCCCACTGAACTACACTGAGTCCTACAGTGCTTTGTGTGTGCCTTGTTCATAGGCCCCTGGGGGGGAGGGCTTGTCCAAGAGACCAGAGGACAACTCCAGGTATGGTTCCTTTATTCTTGTTCATTTGTTTAACACAGGATTTCTCACCGGCCCGGAATTGTCAAGCAGGCTAGGCTGGTGAGCACCCATGTTTTAACATGAGTTCTGGGATGGAATTTAGATCTTATGCTTGCAGGATGAGCACTTCATTGGCTCAGCTATCTTCTCATCTTTTCTTTGTGTCATTACAAATACGAGTGAAATGGGATTCCTAGCCCATTGTACACTCTCGGAAAAATATCTCTTCCATAGGCATTGGATTGTTAGGCAGGTGGATTGCCTTTTCCCAGCGGATTCCCTGCAGTTTCAGGGCTAAGGGCATTTAAAACTAAGTTGACATTAAGGAAATACTGATCCTGAAGACTAGCACTATCAACCGGTACTTTAAAAAAAAAAAAAAAGTATACAGTTTCTGATCCAACGAGACAGCTCATACTATACCAGTCTTAGATGGACACCTAAATTCAATCCCCTGAACACTCAACAGTGGGAAGAGAGATCTCCAGATCTCTGACCTTTATATGCGCTCCACTCCACCCCCTGCTAATAGATAAGTGTAAAAACAAACTATTTTTTAAAAAGTAGTCTCTGCAGTTGAATCCTTAACAACTCCCCCTCACACTCCCGTCCTACTGCATACAGCCAGACACCGGACAGAGGTTATGGCCAGTGAAGAAGAAAATACAAAGCAGTCACCTGTTTGGGACGCTGAAAGCCCTTTTAACTTGCTTCATACAACTAGTCTCTACCTTGCAGCCCCGAGACCCTCAGTTTGCTTTGCTCCCTTCATTTTCCTTTAACAAGGGTGTATTTTTATAGCTGCCTGAGATAATCTCATTCCCTTCGTTTGCTTCGCCTTTGGATCGCCACACCTACGGACAACGTAGATTTTCTTGCGGCTTTCTCCCTCCCCTTCATCACTCCCGATTTTCAGCCGAACACGTGTGAGTCGTGTGTACAGCACTCGGCCAGCCTTCCACTCACGCCACGCTCACAGCAAGCCCCGCCCCTCGGTCCCTTTCCAACTCGGCCCCCACGAATCGCGCCCGCACCCCCACTTCTCGCGAGAAGTGAACACGCCTGGCCGGACGGGAGGAAAGTATCTGCTCCGCTGAGGGGGGAAAGGAGGAGCAGGAGACAGATTGTGGGACCGAGCGCGGGCGGGCGGGAGGCGCCGGAGCTGCCAGCGGGTGAGTCCTGTTAACATTAGCTGGTCCGTGGTCTGACAGGAGTCTCCCCTTCCACTCCGGCCAGTCCCAGCGTCCCGGGCCGGGGTCTCCCCTCCCAGTCTGTGTTGGACGGGGGCGCTGAGGCGGTGGCCGGGCCTGTCTGAGGAAGAGGGTGGGGTATAGTCTAAGACAACCAATAAGAGAGCAGGAAGCCACAATTGGCGGCCATGAGCGCTAATGGGAGATCGCCTTTACCTTGCGGAGTGCCGCCCTCTTCTCTTCTCCCGCCTCCTTCCTTTTGGAGGAAGGCGGGGCCAGAGGACTGAAGTGTGGGGAGAACTTGGGGTAAGTAGCCCCGGGGGGCACAGGGCGTGGCGAGGAAAGGGGGGTTGAATCCTGAGGGAAGAGAAGTGTAGTGGAAGTCAAATAGAAGGATCTTGGAATAGCAGAAAGTGGACGACTACTAAACTAGGTTGACGACTCAAGATTTCCATTAGAGTGGGGTTAGGGCTTGGCACTGCAAAAAGCAGAGGTAATGGGCAGTAGGTAGGTTCGGGTGACATCGAGAGCCTTGCTCAGGTCAAAGCATGCGTTGATCGGCTGAAAAGCTCGTCGAGGTGGACATTGGAACCGAGGGTTTGGCGTTTCGATTGAATTCATAAGAATTAGCAGAAACATGGTATCAGAAAGTGTGGCTTTGGAGAGATTAAGTGGATGAGTTTAGGAAGACTGAGTGGCTTGAGTTGCTTGAAGGCATCGCTTCGGTAATAGTTCGGAAGTCCGGAGGGAAGGGGGAATATTTGGAGAAAAGACAGCGGCTGACATCCAAGTCTTTAGCTTGGGTCTTAGTCGGAAGGCAGTCGGGATTTTGGTGGATATGGCACCCAGACCAGCCAAAATTCTGGCATAGGTGTGTAGAAGAAGAAAAATAGTACATTGCTCTTATTTTCTTTTTTCCAGAATTTTCCTTTTCAAGTGTCATCTCTTTCAAAACACAGGGATATGGGTCTGGGACTTCGAAGGCCCAAGTTGGAGACCCGTAGGGACTTAAATGTTGCTCTGAAATGCTTGTTATGTTCTCTCACTCGGGTGTTTACTACCCAGGCACCTCCTACCCAGATTCCCGTGTTACTACTTTCCAAACTTTGTTTACTGCTTAGCAGGGGGTGTTTTAATATCTCTCAGAGTTCATATGAAGTATAGATTTGTGGAGATGTGCAATTTTTTTCAGCAAACTTATTTGTTTCCTATGTTTAAATTTTTCAGCAGTATAATTTCTGTAGAACCTGTATATATCTCTAAACACTAACAAATAAAGTTTGTTTCCTTAAATATGGCTTTTCCCTTTCATTCATTAAGAGTTATTTAATGGATGATTGAACTTAGTCTTAATTGTCTTGTGTATGTTCTTATGTATTAATTGAGATAGGGTCTCATACAGCCCAGGTACACCTCAAACTGAGGTAACTGAGGTTGAACTTGAACTCCTGATCCTCCTTTGTCCATTTCCCAAGTGCTGAGGTTATAGACTGAACACTCAGGGTCGTGTGTGTGTGTGTGTGTGTGTGTGTGTGTGTGTGTGTGTGTTATACAGCATGCCATGTAGCCCATACTCATAACCTTGAATTTCTGATCCATCTCCACCTCCCAAGTGTGGGAATTACAAGCATTCATTCCCATACCCAGTTTATCAGTTTATGTGGTGCTGGGGATTGAACCCAGGGCTTTGTGCATGCTAGGCAAGCATCTGTACCAACTGAGCTACATCCCTAGTCCCCTCTTAATATTTTAAATGGAGTGAATTTAAAACTCATAGTTTAGGAAATTGAACATTTCCCCATGCTTTCTTTGCATCCAGACTTAGAAACTAAAGAACTATCATAATAGTTTAAGGCAGAGGTTGAGGAACTCTTGTTTTTAAACATGGGGGATGTAAAGTAAGTGGAAGCTATTGCGAAATTTAACATGACTGTAAGAAAAGAAGCTGAAGAAAAGTTTGGCAGCTATACGAAGTAGTCTTACCAGTTTGTTCTTAATTCTGTACAGAAAAGGAACAGAACATTGCCGTTTGTTTAGTAATTGTGTATCATTTAATAATGAGTTAGACTCATATAGCTAATAAGTAACTTCTTTGCTAATGTACAGATTACATTCCTTCTGTCCAGTTGTGTGTGTGAGAGAGAGAGAGGGAGTGTATCTGTGTGTCTGTTGGACGTTGTGATAGTGCTGGAGTTGGAACTTTCCCCAGGGCTTTGTGTGTGTCAGGCAAGTTCTTAACCAGAAGGAGGTTTTAACCCAGTCTCCTTTACTTTTGAGAATTGAAGTACTACCAATGAAGAAGACCCCCGTACCATGTGGGATTTGTTTTGACCTTTTTTTCAGCAACCAGTTGAGGCATTTCCCCCTGGTTAGAATTTGTCCCTACAAAAACGTTGAGATCAATCAGTGACCCTTTAGTACTAACTACTGCGTAGGGACTGAATTGGGTTCCACCTGGGAGCATTTGCTACTGGACATTCAGAAGAATTTTCAGTTTTCCAGGTAATAGTCTTCCCCTCCCTCCTCAAAAAAATCCAGTGAGAAAACAAAGTCTTTTGTTTTGGTTTTCATATCTAGAATTTGTGATGGCTTTAACCTGAACACTCTTAGGTGAAAGATTTCTTTTTTCTCTTTTGGGCAGTGTTCTCACCTGGCAGAAAGATAGACTTTGGGGGCTGAATATGTAACTCAGTAGGTGAACGCTTGCTTACTATGTACGAGCTCTGTTACTACATAAAACTGGGCATGGTAGTGAACTTCTGTAATCCCATCACTGGAGATGTGAAGGCAGGAGCCCAAATCTTTCTTATCTATGTGGCCAATATAAGTCTAGCTTGGGCAACATGAGACCCTGTCTCAAAGAAAAGCAAAAGAAAAACAAGAAGAAAAAATTAATTGATAATAGTTTGTTAATTGATAACAAATTCTTATGAATTAAATTTAAAGTCATACTAGTCAGCAAGATTGAGATTTTATTTTTTCCTTCCTTAATATTGAACTGGGCAGGTATAGGTGTAGAGAAAATGAATTGTTATATTTAAATGTCTTTTTGGGAGGGAGCAGGAAAGTTTGATAGAGGCAGAGGAACTATCTTAAAGTTTATAGTAGATCCAAGTTTTTATAATTTATAGAATTTTTAAAATACTTTTGCTTAAAATGTTATTGTATCTTGTCCTTTTTCCTTACCTAATTCTCTTTTTTTGTTTTTGTTTTTTTCAAAACAGGATTTCTCTGTGTAGCCCTGGCTGTCCTAGAACTTGTTGTGTAGATCACAAATTCACAGAGATCTACCTGCCTCTGCCTCCCAGGTGCTGGAGTTAAAAGCCTGCACCATCACCTCCTGATCCTTTCCTAACTTCTAACCAAAACAAAGTTATTTTTTCAGTCAACTTTCAGCACTACTGTTTTTCCCTTGAGTTCCTGGCTCTGCAACTCTCAGAAGGTTGTTTTGTGAATTTTTTTGTTTGTTTTGTTTTTGTTTTTCAAAACAGAGTTTCTCTGTGTAGCCCTGGCTGTCCTAGACCAGGCTGGCCTTGAACTCACAGAGATCTTCCTGCCTCTGTCTCCCAAGTGCTGGAATTAAAGACGTGTACCACCACGACCAAGCTGTTTTGTGAATGTTAAGACTGTGCTTTTCCTAGGCTCTAGAGGGTTAAGTCAATGTTGCTTCCATTTCCTGTCCAGGCATGATAAGAAGGAGTTTTTTTCCTTACAAGGAAGTTTTAGGTGGAGCAAATAGCACTGTCTTTCAAGTGTTTAACAAAACAACTCTTTTCTTGGGACAGACTGGAATATAATTGCCCCATTCTTTAATAAAGGTGCCAACACAAAAACACTTATTTTGTTTCTTTGAGAAAAACAAATGAGATATTTGCTTAAAAAGAAAAATGTTTAACTATTTTTTTTAAATGTTAACTTCTTTAAATTTTTTTAAAAAATGTTTCTTTGATTTTGGAGTTCTTGAAAAATTCTTCTTTTTTCTCCAAAAACATGCTGCAGATGGGTTAGTGAGATGGCTTCAGAGGGTAAAGATGCTTGCTGCCCACCTATGCAGACCCCCTGGCTTGAGCTATATCATTCTCAGATCTCACTCTGTAGATCATGCTGGCCTCAAACTCACAGAGAGCCGCCTGCCTCTGCCTCCTGAGTGCTGGCATTAAAAGTGTGCGCCACCACTACCCAACTCACTTTTTAATTTTTTGTGTGTATGTGTATCTGGTAAGGGGTGTGTGCACAAAGGTCAGAGGAGGGCACTGGGTGTTCGTTTCCTTTGAGCTTGAAATCACCAATTGGCTATGCTGAGTGGACAATGAACTCCAGCAATCTGACTCTTCTCAGTGCTGGGATTATAGAGGCATGATTTCATACCAGGCCTTTTAAATGGGTGCTGAGAATCTCAACTCAAGGTTTTTGTTTTGTTTTGTTTTTGTTGTTTATTTATTATTATTGTTTGTTTGTTTGTTTGAGACAGGGTTTCTCTGTGTAACATCAGTGGCTATCCTGGAACTCTATAAACCAGGCTGGCCTTGAACTCACAGAGATCTGTCTCTGCCTCTGGAGTGCTGAAACTAAAGGCGTGTGTCACCACCAGCAGCTCTCAGCCAGGATTTCTTTTTGTTGTTGTTTTGTTTTTTTGGTTTTTCGAGACAGAGTTTCTCTGTGTATCTCAGACTGTCTTAAAACTCACTCTGTAGACCAGGCTGGCCTGGAGCTCACAGAGATCCACCTGCCTCTGCCCCCCTGAGTACTGGGATTAAAAAGGCATGTGCCACCACCACAGGGTTCAGCTAGGATTCTTAAGGTCTAAGGTGTAGTTGATCTCCGCTCTTCCCTAGTACTGGGAATTGAACCTAGGGCCTCATGTCTTAGACAAGTGAAAGCATTTTACCTCTGAGCTGTGTGTGTATGTGTGGAGAGAGAGAGAGAGAGAGAGAGAGAGAGAGAGAGAGAGAGAGAAAGAGAGAACGTTGGATCTCTTGTAGCTGATTTTTTTTTAATGTAAGTGAAAACTTTATATTTTTTGTAACTATCTTGCTGGTTATGACTTTTTTAAATAATTTGATAATATGTTTTGGCTTCTTGGCTATATATATATACACACACATATATATACACATATATATATATACACATATATGTGTGTGTATGTGTGTTTGTATGAGTGTTCTGTCTGTGGGTACAGATCCTATTAGAGATGGTTATGAGCCACCATGTGGTTGCTGGGAATTGAACTCAGGGCCTCTGGAAAAGCAGCCAGTGCTCTTAACTGCTAAACCATATCACAAGCCCCTACTACTCATATTTTA